TCTACTGAATTCTTACAATAGCATGTCGGCAGCAGCAGCAGCAGCAACAGGAATAGAGTAGTAGTAGCAGTAGTAGTAGTAGTAGTAGTAGTAGTAGTAGTAGTAGTAATAGTAGTAGTAGTAGAAGAAGTAGTAGTAGTAGTAGTAGTAGGAGTAGTAGGAGGAGCAGTAGCAGTAGCAGTAGCAGTTACAGTTGTAGTTGCAGTAGCAGTTGCGGTTGCAGTTGCGGTTGCAGTAGCAGTAGCAGTAGCAGTGGCAGCAGTAGTAGCAGTAGTAGTTGTAGGAGGAGGAGTAGTAGTATGATAATGGTAGTTTTAGCAGTAAGCAATGTATATCAAAAAATAAGAGAAAGAATGCATACCGAATAACCATATATAGGAGTGCTAGACGACCGCGCGGCTGACAGACCTGTGAGTCCGTGAGAGAGAGAGAGAGAGAGTTAGTTTGCCCTCTGTGTCTTTTACCGACGCCCTCACAAGGCCACGTAACAGATAATCAGGGACGGGGAGCCTTACCCGCCCCCTGAACCCCGGAGAAGAGGAAGAGGTGGCAAACAGAGAATTTCGAGGGATTTAGAATGAAATGCGAACGACTTTGTTATATACCAACAGAAGTGATCATCGAGTAGTGAATGATGAATAAAGAAGTCTCAATGCAATAATCTTTATCAGTATCATATTCTTGAGGTTAGAGATTTAATGGTATACTATAGACTAATGGGTTTTACACTTTTTAACCATTAAATCATTAAACCAAAGACTTATCTCCTAGCAAGGCTAGTTAAACATACCTCTTCTTTATACTATAGTCTAATGGGTTTTGTCATTTAGCCATGGAATTAAAGACCTATCTCCTAGCAACACTAGTAGTGATTCTTAGTGCAAATTGAATCACGTTCATGTTTCCGTGATGTCTTTTTCATTGTATGTTTCTTTCTTCTGAAAGCTGGGAACTCCTCGGCTTGGAAAGGCACTGCAAGTCACCAAAGGCGTGGCTGCGGCCGACTTCCAGCGGCTTCGGGTGGCTCTGCGGAACTTATCTGCTGGGCACACGTTTGTTGTAAGGCTGAGTTGTGATTGTGACTTGGTGACGGTGGTAATTGTTATTGTTGCTTTTGTTGTTTACCAGCTTACCGAAAGCTGTATGGTTCCACTTGTTTGAAGGGCGAGTTTATGGTGTAGACGACCCCTACAATGGATAGGTTCGACCCCTACAATGGATAGGTTGTATTTTGGGAGCCAGCTCTTAGTGTAGAGATTGAGATTTATTTCTTTGGGAGGCGGCCTTCGAGCTAAGGTTCAAAGATTCGGAGTTCAACTCCCGAAGGACCCCTTCTTGGTCAATTGTCCGAGATGTCACTGCTGAACGACCTCCTGAGACCCCATCACCCTCCCGCCCAGCCTTTCAATGATTTTCAAACTCTTCCACAATTAGAGCCCGAGACGTTCAAGGTCCAGATTGGCATCATCCGGGAGAGCATCAAAGATCAGGTTCGGCTTGGGGCCTGTAATTGCCTCCAGATTCTTGTGGGCCTTGTTCTCGATTGGCGCGCTTCCCCAGCTGAGTTTGACAGGAGTTGTCTTAGAAGTCTTAGAAGGCTTCTAGGAAGCGATCAGTCATATTTTGGAGCTACCCCCTATGTCATCGACAGCTTAATCGATAGACTGGTACATCGTGATATACCCTGGAAATCAATTCCTGGATCCTGATCAGCCAAGGTCTACACCCGGAACCGTAAACCAGTGTCAAGTTTCCTTAACTCCTTACGTCTCCTTAGGCCCGAAGCTCCTTCATCCCGAACCTTGAACCTCACGGTTCTTCCCATGCCTGGACCCCTGAAGGATGCCATAATTTGTGTTTGTGCACCACCCAGGGAAGGGTGTGAAGGCTGGGCCAGCGGGTCACGCACCTCATGGCTCGCTCTCGCCGGTTCTCGTGGGGAAGCCGCGCGAAGGGCCATGACACGATATACTCTAGATCTCAGTGGTCTTCCAAGAAACACACGGCCGGCACGGGAAGAGGGAGACAAAGTGCCTCCCTAACCGAGGCTGAGCCCGGAAGTCTTCCAGGATGCAGAACTCTCAAACTTCAATTTCAGCCTCAGCCGAAACCGTACAGCGTAAGTGCTGCCCCCCCCCCCCCCCCCGGAAAAAATGGTTTGCACCTTAAGACGAAGCCCTTGGCTTTCTGCCAGAGAGAGGTGCATAAACCAATTAATTACATCGGACGGCCAGGCTCGGCTGAAGGTTCGGCTGGAGCGAGAGAAGGAACTCGAGGCTTCAAAGGCGCGGACGTTGCTGTCGGGCTTTGGGGCTTAGGCTTTGGGGCTTTAGCTTTTTCCTTTGAAACCTGAGGGCTTTGGATGTTTGTCTTAGGCTGCTCAAGGTTTACTGTGTCGTGGGTTTAGGGATTACATAGGATTTGTTGGCTTCCGCTGGTTTTTTGGGCTTAGGGCTGCAGGTTGAAGTAGTCGGCGCGGCTTTGGGGGCTACTTTTCCGGTCTGAACAAGCTGATCGCAGGAAGAGGTCCGAGAGAAGATCGAGGAGCTTAGTGGAAAAGCGGACGAGGTGGAGGCACCGGTCAAGCAGGCAGCGGATCTGTGTAGTCCAGCTGCCCAAGGACACGTGAACAATGATGTCTAGTCTTCTGATTATTGTATATCTTCGTAGTATTCCTCTTCGTCCTGGTCTTGCTGTTGCTGTTGCTGCTGCTGGTGGTTTCGGCGGTGATGATGCTTGTGGTGACATTGGTGATTCAGGTAGTGATGGTGGTGAGGATGAGTTTCGGTTTGATGAGGATGCTGACGCAGTGCTCCTGATGATGATTCCGTACCAGCTCCTGGTTCGAAAAGTGCTGCTAATGATGCTTCTGCTGATGGTGGCGCTGCTTTTGTTAGTGCTGGTGGTGCCTGTTATGGTGGACGTGATGGCATGTTGGTCGTTGTCGTTCCGATGGCGGCGGCGGTAGTTTTGAGGACGGTTATGAGAACGATGACATTACTGATCGCAACGATGACGTTGGTTTCTGAGTGCGCAGTGGATAGAAACGGACACACTAGTGCTAGTACAGCAGCTATGACTCATAACTTATAGCCATCGGCAGCGATGATGCGGGTGGTGCGTGCCGAAGATAAATACTGGGAATGGAGAGAGGTCAGATGTGAAAATAGATATGAATAATGCCGGTGTCTTAAAATCTTAAAAGCAGTTGTACGCGTGGCCGAGTGCGACCGAAGTAAGAACCAATGGGCATGCAAGCCTGTTTTGCAAAGGTGGAAAACTTTTCCTGCAAAATCACGCATGTGCATTGCGAGCAATGGCCGTGCTCTGCACGGCATGCGCAAGCTTCAGTGATCTGCACCGGCCGAACCCTCAACGTCGTAACCCCCAGAAAAACCAAGACCGAAGCTTTGAACCTAGTGTGCAGGTCCTCAAAGGGGTCTTACGATTGTGCGACCAGCCCGAAGTTCTCGGCCCGAATTCTGAGGAATGATTGAACCTTGTTGTTGGGAGTCTTTGGTGGACTGGCAGAATAGCACTGACATCTCGAACGAACCATCGGGACTCTATCGCCAAGCCCCAATTCCCAACTTCCCATTTACTGTTAAGGGTCGGGGCTGGCCGGCATCTCAGTCCGTGCTGAAAGCCTCGGGGATTCATGTGTAACTGGCAACCTTCCGTGCAAAGGCCCGAAATCAACAACCCGAAGCGCTAAGCCCGGAATGTGAAAAATCCGAACACTGCAAGCCCTACGTCCGTCCGAAAAGCCCCCCCCCCCCCAGCCTCACAGCCCAAGTCCTTCCTAGCCTCGCCACCCCAAAATCCAAAGCCCTGTATCCATAAACCGGCCTCGCAACGAAATGCTAAACCCGAAACCGATAAACCCTGGACTCAGAACCACCAGCCCGAAATCTCAAGCTTTGCCCGCCTTGAGAGATCGGGCAGGTGGAGGATGCCATCCTTGAGCTTAGCAAGGCGGGGCCTTGGGTCTTCTGGCTGTCTGCAGATTGGGTTTACTTCTGAGGGTGAGCAACGGTTCGAGTCTGAGCTTCCAGCTGAGCATGTTTTCACATTCCAGATCGAGGAGGTTAGGACCCTGTGACGTCGCTGGGACGAAGAGGCTTCATTGGGCTACGGGCTTTTGTCAGTCGGACTGCTCAAGAACGAGGCTGAGGCTTCGAACGTTAGGATCCCGATCCTCTGCGTCTCTTATCCACTTTGGTGTTCATGAAAAGGCTTCAGGGCTGACTCAGCGTGGACTTATGTAGCGTTCTCCCCCCCCGCACACATTTACAGGGAGCGGCTGCTTCAGGGCTTATCATCGCCTGCTGAACGATGCGATCGACAGCTTGAAGTGACGAAAGTCACAAGCAGTGATACTCTAAACCCGAAACCTGTCAGCATAAACCTGAAAGGTTGACAAAGACTCCACGCGGTGGCGCCCTGAGGGGTTTAAACAATTGCTTCTGGGCTTTAGGGTTTCATTTTGCTTTTTGGGCTTCAAGATTCTGAGCAAGGGATGCTGTGGCCCAGGGTTCAATTTCAGAAGAGCTTCAAACTCCTGGACACGCACTTGCGTCGGTGTTGAGCGCCTTGGATGGTCGGGCATGGTGGAAAGCTTGCGACCTGAGAAGTGAGGGCTCCGAAGTCAGTGTTACTTGCTTTTCGGATGAGCCGAAGGCTTAAGGGGTTGAGTGCAAGCCCTACCTGGAGTCACAGACTTGAAACCGTAGGTGTCGACGTCTGGGATGTGGGCCAACAGAGATGTGAACCCGTAAGGTGCGCTACATGCAGCCCGCTCATCTTGCCTCCGAAGCTTAAGCTGCAGATTTTTCCCATCTCCCGAGGGCCTCGCAGATGCACGAGAAGTGTGCAGAGGTTTTCCCCGACTTGCCGGGTTTCAGGGTGAGGACCTGGTGCAACGGGCTCATGGCTCGGCGGTTGATGGGGTGTGTAGGAGTCTCGGCATAAGGCGGCCTGCCGTGATTCCGGGAGATGTAGGAGTGTGACTGAATGCACAAAGTTTGCTGCTCCTTGCATTGCTCCTGCCCCTTGTGTTTGGCATCCCTTTGTACTGTTGGAAATCGCCTGTGCTGCTCAGCCGCTGGCCAAAGCTTTTGTCTGCACCGGATGCACCGATATATAATGATATATATATATATATATATATATATATATATCTCATGTGACAGGAATCGAGCTCCAAGCTCGTGTTAGCCTTTTCTTCGTTCGGCTTCGCTGAAAGCACGTCCTCGAGCTCCTCAGCGAAAGCTTCGAGATTCTGGGGTAAGTTGGGGGCCTTAAGCCCCTGGGCCGCTGTGAGTGTTTTTCATATAATCAAGCCTTAGCAAGACCTTCCCAGCTAGCCCCCTCCACAGCCAAAGCCTTCAACGCGAGTGCCATGGCATCGCCCCGGCAAATCGAGTTGAACCGCTGGCTGACGCAATCCACTGCGCCGGAGATCATCCAGGCGCTCCCTGTGCAAAAGGGGTCAGCTGCGAGCTTGAGGATTCAGAGTGTTTTTCATGATTCCGGTTAGTTTGGCGGTTGCGCTTCCTGCTACTGGCTTAGCTTCCCTTCTGAGTTGTTTGATCCGCTGCGGTCTGGCATCGCAGGTGCTCATAGAGCTAGGGGCAGTTTTCCGGCTCACACATCTTGGGACCTCCCTGCGAAAACGGACACAAAGTCCGAGAGCAGTTGAACACGGAAGCCTCACGTATCCTCACGTCACGTTTCCTTCGAAGGTGGTCCAGGAGAATCTGACAGAGTTCAACCTTGTGCCCCGATTGTGGAGTTGAGGGGATGTGCAGGTTGCTACATGGTAGGTACTGCAGCTAAGCCGCGAACCTCCACCTTAAGACAAAAGACCCTAATGAGAAGAAAGTTGACGAGTTGTTCGAACCAGTATTGTGCAGCAGACCTCGCCAGGCTTGTCCGAGTGTGAGTGTCAAAAAATGAGAGGAGACCAGAGTCCTCGCCAGGCTTGTCCTAGTTGTGAGTGTTGAAATGAGCCACCTACGGAGCCAAGGCTCGGCGGTCGGGTGGACATCAATAAAAATGGTGCTAGTACTCCAGGTTAGTAAGGGCCGATGGCTTTCTGACAGTAACGGCAGGAACAGAGAGGAGTGCCCAGGTAAACTGCACGACCGCCCTGCAGCGCTACGCCAAAGCGCTGGGCTCGGGTCCAGGCCCTTGGGCCCTTCGGGGAAGGATGCTGACGCTTCAAGATGTTCCTGTAAAGCAAGAGGGGGCCAAGAGAGAGACCACCACCCACACACACATTAACATACACACGGACGTGGTGAGGATAAGGCAAGAGAGCCTTCTGCTTGAGGCCGGCCGGATGCCGCACGCAGGGGCGGGCAGAAGCGGCCGGCTGAAGCGGAGGAAACTCTCAGGCGGCTCCTTCTTCGCACCGCTGAGCTGGCGCAGTCCGCTGGTACCCAGGTGTCGGGCCCGAACACCAACCGAAAACCAACGGAAGCTGTGGTGCTTGGCTCCTTGTGCAAGGTCCCGCCGCAGAATCTTGCGAATGCGCTGTGGGCTACATGCCTTCAGAGTTGCGGGTCTTGTGGATCTTCTGGGCAGGCATCTTTGGTATCCTTCAGATACTCCGTGCGTGCTGTGGCGTGGCAAGGAGAACCTAAACACCGGTTTGAATGGAGCATGCCATGTGAGGATCCAGAAAGTAACTCCTTTGTTTCCTACGAGGATGCTTGAGTGTCCTCATGCAGAAACCTGGCCATAGGAAATGAACCGAAGCTGCAGAATCAGGCTACATCAGGACGCCCTCCAACAGGCAGTGAAGACACTGAAGCTCCCGACTCCTCAACCTAGAGGCTCCTCACAGCTGTTCGCCACGAACCCGGGGCTCATTTTTCGGGCCTTCACTACAATGCTTACCCCAACCAAAGTTCTGCACCTACCTACATGTTTGCTAAGGCCGCAGAGCGTCTTGTAGCCTCGCCGGGGGCGCCTCAGGCAACCTTGGCGGCCATCGCTCGGAAGGCCTTGAGAAATAGGTGAGGGCTTAGGTGGGTTTGTGGTTTGAGGCGTCGGCTTGTTTCGAAGTCGTGCTTCACAGACTCTTACGGTGTTTTAGCCGGCTTGCCTTCGAGGGAGTCTTGGAACAGGTGTTGGTCTTCTGCTTTTGGTGAAATGCGCAGGACCTTCGAAGGGCTCTTCGGCAAAGAGGCTCCCGAAGCTCCAACGCTTCGGCCTTAAAGAAGAAGGAGACCCCCAGAAAGTATCTGCAAGGGTGATGCAAAATGCTACGTGTCCCTAGGCCTCTCCCAAGGCAATCCGTATAGGTACACGGCGAAAATGCCTGACAAGAAACGGTGTCAAGGCCTGCGATCTTTCAGCGCATGCACCGATACAGACAGAGAAGCCAAGCATTGAATCTCGAGGCCATGGGCGATCCGAAGCGCTTGAAGGCGTTTAGCGGGCAGCACTTGGTCACTTGTCCAATCCAGCAGTCAGCTGTCAGCATTCTCCCTGCAGGCTTTTGGGTTTCGGATATGAGTTGCAAATCGTTGCGTCGCAGGGGCTGAATAGGTTCCATGTTGCCGAAAGGCTAACATCGCCTGGGCCACTGCAAAGCTTCTGACAAGCAGTGCCTTGTGCTGAAGAGACGGCTTTGCATTTTGGCAGGGTTCGCATGTTGGAAGACAAGAAGATGCCTCTTGTTTCCGTCCTGGTTGAGTCGCTGCAAACCAGATGCAAAAAAAAAGAAGAAAAGAAGCTTCTGCTTTGTGTGCCGAACCCGCCTCTGGTACGATGCTCTGCAACTCCGGCCCTCCGAATCCTGATCTGCGGAGCTGTTCTATCGGGTTTGGGCTTTAGGATTGAGGTGGTAGAGGTGGGGACATGTCATCGGGCGGCCCGATGTGTGTGTGTGTGTGTGTGTGTGTGTGTGTGTGTCTGTTTACATGATCCGAGGACATCCGAGGACCTGGGTTGAGTGGTGTAGTTTCTGTAGTTCTTCGTCTACATGCTAGCCTGTGTGGCCGACCAGAGACCGAGTCCGCGATAGGGGGAGTATGGCGACCGCCTTGCAGATCCTGTTTTTCCGTGTGGTAGATCAACCTCAAACCGTCGCTGGACAACAGGGCGAAACGGCACCTGCAAGGGGGATGCGGCCCCTCGACCCGACAAAAGAAAGAACATAGTAAGTAGGTTGCAAGTGGCCCCTGAACAAGAGAACTCAAATTCGGATTTTGAAAACCCGGTTCGTGACCCGCGTGCGATCTCCACTGATCTTTAACTACTGCGTGCCCCCATCCTGACCCAATAGGCTGTTCATGCTTTGCCGTTGATCTACGTGCATGCCAGAAGCTGATAGTTAGAGGGTTCAGATGCGAAATCAATTGGAAACACCCGTGACAAACAGTTATCACGTAGAAGACAAAAACCTGTGCAACAGATGGCTTGAGGAGAATCTCTCTCCAGTGAGGCTCTGCCGCCCAGCTGCTCAAATCTGCGGGCGCCGCTTCGCAGGAGGCTCCTGGGGTGGTTTTTGGTTGGGGTCGGCGGTGCCGACCTGAAAAGCCCTCCGTTGGAGCCCATCAAGAACGGAAGCTTACAGCAAAGCCCACCGAGCACCAGACACAAGCCTACTTGTACGTGTAAACCCTGCGGCGTACATCCGTTCGGGTCCCAAGTGCTCTCTGTCCTCGACGGCGCCTCCAGAGTCCACACCCGGAACCCGAAATTCATCCTAGCCAGGCCCATATAGATTGTTTCTATTTGGGTTTGAGAGCTGAAGGTTATGGTGGGTTTTGGTTTTTGAGTCGTCTGCTGCAGCAATCCGGAAAAAAATCCTAATCTGCGAACGTGAAGCTCAAATCCCCCAATCTCCAAACCTCGGGTGGGAAAAAAAACCACTCGGACCTACAACTGCTACTTGGGCAGGTTGTCCTTTTACCTCGTACCCAATGCCGACTTCACACGATCAGTGTCGTTTGGCAAGAGCGTAAACCGCTTCGACACACGGTCGTGTACTGTCGTCGACATGCTACGAAGGAAGCATTCTGCTCGGGCCGGAGTGGGCCTAGGGCGTTGTGATTCTATGTTCAGTTGGTTTGGGTCTTAAGCTGCAGCTGTCATACAGTGGATGAGAGACAAATCCCTGAAGCCAGGCCTTTCTGGAGCCCCTTTGCTCGGCTTTGGAGACCCGGGCCTGGGACCTAAATGCACAGGACCGCGCATTGGTGCTTGAGGCTTTGGGGGTGAGGGATTTCAGTTCGGGTCATATTCGGTTCGTGGTCGTAGTGCTAGTTACCTGCTGTTACTCTTCCAACCGGCTTCATGTCGAGGAACGGCTAAGCTGAACACCGACCGAAAAGGAAGATCATCAAATATTTCGAAGTGCGTGTCTCTGAATGATGGCCATTCTGATCATTTTCGCTTGAACCATGACCCGAAGTCGGCGCTGGCGACAGGAGCTCTCCATGGCGGCCTGGGCGCTGGGCACTGCGGGCTATGACAACCATGCAGCCACGCGGGTCGTTGCGACCCTGGGAGAGGTTTGCAGAGTTCTGGGATTCGGGGTTGCAGGTTTTGGGCCGCATTTCTTGTAGACATCAGAGAGCTATTGGTTGAAAGGGTTCCAAGACTAGGGCCTAGGCAGACCCTTTGCCTCAAATCCTGCAAGACCGGCTTTGGCTTCAGGGCGTCAGGGGTATTTTAGGGCTTCAAGCTCCAGATGCGAGTACTGTTGATGCTTTACCCCACCGAGTACCCGAAATTTCCGTTTAATGGAAGTCTTACTCAAGTAGCCTGGAAAGCGTTGAAACCTGAACACGAAATACCCAGTCTCTCAATGCTTGATTCCTTTCAACTTCGCGCCATTTCTGAACCTTCAAACCTGAAGCCATCAGCCCCGATAGTTTGAGCCCAGAGCCTTCGAGATCGAAGCACGGTGAAAGCCTATGCCCTGACCTGAAGCATTCTTCTTATTACTATTCGTGATGGGTACGTACACGCTGCAATCCGCATTCATTGAACCATGCCTGTCAGTAGTTTTTTAGTTATTTTTAGTTCTGAGAGGCCGCTCGCTGGCAGCCCGACGGCGCAGAGGGGCTCAGTGCGCAGCAGCTGGCGACCGTCCGGGGCTCCGAGAGAAGGGTGAGATGCAGACAGTGAAGAGGATTACGGATTCGAAGCAAATGTTTTCGCCAACCACAAGACAGACAGTAAGAATGATAAGAGGAATAACGTTTTGGCATGTATGCCAGCAACAAGATTCATGAGCAACAGCAGTCATCACCATCATGAGCATAGTCGCCACTGCCACTGCCCGTATCATAGGCGACCATGTAGTTGCACAAGACCGTACAAGGCTATTAATAGCAATTAAAACACGAATACAGCAGATGTTGGAAATAGTGATGCCCGATAAAGTACTCACAAGACATGTGATTAGTAGAATCAGAACAACAACCACGACAAAATAACGGTGCTGGTGCATGAGGTGTTGAGCCAGCTTACCGTTGTTCAGTTCAAGGCCATGAGCCACGGAACATGTGACCCCTTGCAACGAAGCGAAGACATGATTCTCCAAGCTGGCAAGGGTTTCGTTATGCCGGAATCAGACCATTTCTACGTCACTCCTCGAAAGGCGCACAAGCGACAACCGATGGTTAATAGTGATGCTACCGATACAACAGGCAGCACTAACGCCGATGCCATGGCCTTCGTTTCCAGGGTCTAGATGGGTCTAGTGTCTAGAAAATAGTTCATCGTGTGCCGGTTGAGGGAGGGAGCTGAGTCATGCCTGTTGGAGCCTCCAAGAGTTGTTCAGAATTCATGTGTCACTGCTGCCTTGACCAAGATGGCCTGGGCTTGTGCCCGCCTCGGTTGCCGCAGCGAGGCCGCTCGCCACAGCGGGCATTCAGAGTTTCACGAATGGTTCTGCAACAAACAGCGTACGGAGTGTTGCAAATTCGATTGAAAGACTGTCCGTGCTTCAGTGGCCTTGCGATCACTAGAAGGCCCTGCATGTCAGATTTGCAAGAAGCAGGCGGAGAGGATAGTCTGCAAATGTCCGCACTGCCTCCAGCTTCCCACCCATCTACTTCCATGCACCAGGGTATTGTTTTAAACCTCTCGATGTCGAGTGTGAGTGCTAAAAAAAACCTCTCGATGTGACGAGTCACCTCTGCCAAGTCATTGCCCGAGCCTGCAGACGCTCCGAGATTTTATGTGTCTGTTGGGAACAGCATCAAACTGAACTTACGTGGATACTGCGTCGCCTCATGGGGCCTCAAATCTGTATGCTCCATGAAGCAGGCTTTGCTGCAGGACATCGCCAAAGCGGCCACGTGCTGGCGGTTGCATTGTGGAAGTTTCTGTGCACGCAGAAGCATTCCCATCGTGTGATTCGGAGTTTCTCCCATGATTACGAAAGAACTGTGGCAATCACCTCGAGCCTAAGCCAACTGAATTCGCAAACCGCAAAACCCTGCCAAAAGTCGCTAACATTCTGGCGTTCCTCGTTATCACCCTAAGCGGATCTCGGCCACAAGTTGTGGTGGCCTCTTGACTTGCCAACTCAAGTGGTCAAAATGGGACAGGATCACCAGCGCCCATCCTGTCTCTGTAGGTCCCAATGCCAACGAGGACATCAAGACATTCCACCCGTCGTAAAGAAATTGAAGAAATCCGGTGCCTAAAATCCACACAGCGGCAGGGCCAAAAATGAAAGCTTTGACGGAGGTGTGGCCACCCTTGCTTAATATAGAAATTGAATTGAAATGTGACTGCGGGTGTATATACAATCTGTGATGCGCCCTCACAGTTCAGTTCTGTACACATCCTGCGCCGGAATATTCTGTGCAAGCTCCTGGTTTCATTGCCTCCAAGCAGACGGTGGTTTGTGAGTCCCACTTGCGATCAACAATCTTCGACGGTCGAAAACGCTCGTTCAGAAGTATAGGGCCTATGCTTGGCCTGTGCCTTACCCAGTATAAACTTAGGTTGCACTCTGTGTTGCTCCTGCTGTGCAATGCGTGACTCGAAATAAATTGCACTCTGATTCGCCGATTGCGGTTGCTTTCCAGCCCTTCGTCGAACCGGAGTTTGCTATTATGCTATAATCAGGATCCGAACATCAACGAAGCACAGAATGTTGGACAATTCCATTGTGCCTTTGCATGGTGCGTGCACTTCGAAGTACACACACACACACACACACACACGTATGTAACGCATGGAGACCGCCACACGAACGAGGCCCAAAGTGGCACGTGGAGACTTCAACGCACAGGAGATTGGGACTGCCTGTGCTCTCTTTTAGGACCCTCGGCCCTAAACCTAAATTTTCATCAGCCCGAGTCCGTGTGTGAGAGCGCAGGCCGAAGCCGTAAGCAACAAGCCCTCTGGCCGGAGACAGGACCTGGTGAACATGACTTGGGCCTATGGGCGGCTGGAGTTCTCGGTGCCTCGGACTGACTCCCTTTTTGCAGGCCTTGGGGTCTGAAAAGACTTTGGGATTTCTCATGCCTCTCACATTGCGACTGTGGCCTGAAACCGCTTGCCCAGCGTAAATTCTTTTGCCCAGAAAGACCGGACCGAGGCAGAGGCCCTCAGGAAGGTTTTGGCGAAAGCAGCGACAAGGCACCTGGAGATGCAGAATCACCAGGAGTACCTGTACATGCTTACAGAGTACCTACAGCTACAAGAAAGAGGGGTATAAGTGCCCAAGCCAGCTTTGGTTTAGGGGCTGTTAGGGGGGTTTGGGTCTCTTGCCAACCGTCTGAAGTCTCAGATTGGTCTAAAAGTTGGAGGTGCTGTGACCTCCCAAAACCTAGAAGCCTAGGAACCCGAAAGCTGAAGCCCAACCACAAAGCAGCCGAACCTCAAGCCGTCAGAATCCGAGCCTCCAGGAAATCCCCAACCAAGCACACCCGACCCCTGGAAAGGACTGTGACCAATTTGTGCATGCCTCTTCTTGCCTTCAGGTTTGTGAGCATTGAGAAATGTTCGTCCGTATTCCAGTTACAGAGCCACAGGAACTGACTGTTTTTTTTGTTTGGTCTAATCTCTTTCGGATTCGGCAGATTCCTGGCCAAGACGGCGCAGCCGAACCGCCGCCACTCAGGCGAGGGTCATGCGTGTGGCTTGTGGTATGGTGGTTTTTATATTGTAGGAGGTGATCGGGGCTTTCAGGGTGCCTAGTCTCCTAATTTCAAAGACAGACTTTCAGAAACAGTCCAGTCAACGGAGGCCAGAGTGTTTCAGTTCAGGTTTGGTAAAAGAGTCGTCATGTTACCGTGCTACCGGCCGACATGATCAACCTGTGAGGGTAAGTTTGGGAGGAAGCGCTTTGCAGGGATGGCAGCGGTCCCATCTTCTTCGTGTCTTTTCAATCTGCCAAGGCCACTGCATTCGCCTCCCCTGCTCAAAGCCTGCTCAAGCCGAAAGCCTCTTGTCGATTGAAGGGAGATTTGTTCCTTGGAACGGCCAAGGGGCCCTACCTACCAGGTATTCCGAGACGCAAGCTGGCGGATTGGAAAACGGCCGATACAACCAAGCGTTCGAAAGTGGTGCGAAAAACCTCTACAGAAAACTGTCGGGGCAACCCCACCTGTGTCTCCATGGCCCATCACGTCCTCCTGCTTTGAGGCACAGGTTTCAGTGCCTCGCAGCTGGCGGTAGTGGCGTGGTCACTGGCTGCTGCCCAAGGGCCATCATCGTGGTGTGGTTTAGAGTTCAGGGTCAAATGTGGAGTTTAGATTCGGGTGCAATGAAGGTATGCTTTAGAGATCTCTCTTTGAAGTCTTTCATCACGGCGGGTTGAGGAGAGAAAGGGGTCGCAAAGCAGATTGAGAAATGTGAGGGTGTCGCGGTTTGGCGGCTTCGAGTTGGGGGTTGCTGCGAGCGCTCAGCACCCGAACGAGTGTTTCGAGGGAGGGTTGTCAGGGATGGGCAGAAGGCAGCAGTCAAAAGGATCATGATTCAGTGGCCATGCTATTGTGCAGCTTGCAAGCCTCAGCAGTTAGAAGTTGAGGTGAGAGACCTAAAGAGCGGAGCTTCAAGCTTTAAAGTAGGTTCTGGCTGAACCCTGAAACCTGTTGAATATGGCAAGGCAGGGTAGCCTATTCCTGAGTGGTGCTGGCTCCTGGTTGGGCACTTTAAGATCCCGCTAATGATGAGCTTGTACTTACAAGGGGGTGCTCTGAAGAGTACCCTTCCCATAAGTCTCTGTTGTGATGACGTCTTTTCTAAGATCGAGGCGAGAATGGGCGTCCGGGAGAGCAAAACTCTGAAGGCTATTGCCGAGGTGGATGTATCTTCGATTCAGGTTCAGGGCGGAGGGATAGAGGGTTGTTCTATATAGGTTTATCTATGTTTGGGATCCCTTTTCAAGTGCACTCTAATAAGAACGACTCCGGGTACGACGGGAGGCCGAAAGTGTGGAGGTTTTACGGACTGTTTCTCCCGAACTTGAAGCTTGAGTTGAGGTTGGTGATTTGGATGTGGTGAGTGCGACGATGATGGCAGTGAAAATAATGATGACAATTCTGGCTGCTGTCGAGGTGGTGAGGATGAATGTGAGTTTGATGTCCATGCTTGTAGGTTGCCAAGCACCAGCCCCGACAGCCCGAAATCCCCAAGCTAAGCCGCGCATTCAAAACCCAAGCCGGATACCCCCGATCATAACAATGACGATGAGCATGTGTTTGTATAGTTTCGTCACGCACTTTAGGCAGGCTTCTCGTTTCCAAACCGTCTCCGTGCGATTCCAGCTGATGATGATGTCACATTATTTCACATTGATTTTGCGACCCTTTGTAGCTTCCTGCCCGAAACCCCCGTAAACCCTAGACCCGCAGTCGTGTTCCGTAGGGTGGGATGTGATGCTGTACACGCCCACCGCCATCCAAGAACCTCATCTGGTGGAGTCCGAATCGAAGCAGAAGCCGCCATACTCCGGAGCACTAAAGCCTCGAACCTGGAATCCTTACTAAGCCTCAGCGGGACTGAGCATCCCATGATGTTCAGGCCGGTCTGCTGGTATTCCCCTTGAAGTGTGAAAGCTCCGGGTCCTCGGAGGAGGCGACACAGCGAGTGTCGGAACTCTTGCCGCGGGACGTGACTGACATCGTTTGGGCCCGGAGCCTGGCATTGTGGCAGACATGAGCATTGAAGCGCTTTATGCCGCAAATGCCTGGCCCACTTTGCAGATCAGGGGTAAGAGTTACAGTTATAGCCAAACTGCTTGAGTAGTTTCAGGTCTCAACACGTTAGAGGCCATGCCAATGCAAGGCCATTGCATGACAGGCAAGATCAACAGTTCAATAGCATCGACCACAGAGAAAGTTTACGAGAGTGTTGTCCATCCAGCAATTCCGAGCTATGGAGGATTCCGTGCCGTTTGTTGAGTTTTCACAGCACGAGGATCTAACGGTCCGGCTTCGGAACATCCTGCACGACTATACCTTTGGCCCTGGCGTTTTTCGAGAGCTTCTGCAAAATGCGGACGACGCAGGTGCCCGGTGCTTTGCACTCTATGCCGATGCAGTAGAACACCCAAAGCTCGAGGGCCTCCTGGACGCACGTTTGGCTGACTGGCAGGGTCCGGCGATCGTGGCTGTCAACGATGCGCAGTTCACAGATGCGGATTTTGATGGCATTCGTTCAGTGGGAGCCTCTGTGAAGAGGTCGGATCATTCGAAGATTGGACGCTATGGCTTGGGCTTCAACTCCACCTACCATCTGACAGATGTGGTGTCCTTCCTGTCACGGGACCGGCTCTGTATTTTCGATCCTCACCGAGCTCATTTGCCTTCTGGCCTTCCAGGCCTTCAAGTGCAGTTGACGGCGGAGCTCAAGAAAAAGTACTGCGCGCAGCTTGCCCCCTTTGTGGATGTGGCCTCTGCCTCTGCCTCTGCCGGCTCTGCTGGCTCTGGCGATGTGGGGGAGCCTTGGGAGCCTGGAACTATGTTCCGGCTGCCCTTAAGGACAGCAGAGCTGGCATCCCGTTCTCTGATCTCGAACCAGGCCCACAGCTTTGAGGATGTGTTGGCAGTCTTGCAGGAGTTGGCGTCCAGCGCCGGGGAGCTGCTGCTGTTCCTACAGTGTGTTGAGGTGCTCGAGATCCATGTGCGCCATCCCCAACACAGGGATTGGAGCTGCTTGGGCCGCTCCTGGATTCGAACGGCATCGGCCGCTGTAACCGAGCGGTTGAGGAAGGAACGCCTGATGCTCCGCAACGTGCTTGCAAACGATGCCAAGAAGGCAGCTCACCGACTTGGCCTCCTCATTGAGGTAGTCACCGATTCCCGGTCCGGCCTGTCACAGGAGACCAGACGATCTTCGAGGCCATGGTTGGTGACTTTGCGCAGCGAGCCAGTGGAGAGTGCAGAGGTTCTCAACGGGCCTGCTGAGGATGAACTTCCGAGCTGTCGCATCGCAGCGGTGGCGGTGGCTCTTCGCACCAACTCCGAGGCTTCAGCCGACTTGAAGGGACAGGCATACTGCTTCCTTCCGCTGTCTCTCGCAACGGGGCTGCCGGTTCACGTCTCTGCGAATTTCGCATTGTCGGCAAACCGCCGAGACTTGTGGAGACGTAGCGATGACCGAGTAGGCAGCGAGAGCCACTGTCGGGCTGCCTGGAACGAAAGTTTGTTGGAGACCACGTGTCTTGCCCGGTGAGTTGAAGTAAACCTACAACCATTCCTGGCTTTTCGTGCAAGCATTGACCATGAAGGTCTGAACTATTTGGGGGCATCTAAAATGAACAACTGAGGTGTCCGCGAGCCTATGCAGATGCACTGGAGTTGTTGGCTGGCGGAGTGGTCAGCCAGCAAACACTCCCTTTCCCGACTTTGAGTACCGTCTCCGATGTACTCCATGAAGACTTGTCCGAGTGCAACAAAAATCTTTGGCATCTGTGGCCCGGAAAGGAGGCCGCCGGGCACTTTCTGGCCATGCCCCGTCGCGTCAGTGAAGAGTTGGTGGCCCGGGATGCGGCCGTGTTCCTCGACGACCAGAAGAAGTTTCAGACGGCCAAGCTTTGCTTGCTTTGTTTGGATGGAGAGTTTGCGAGGCTCAAGGACGAATTGCGTGCTGCACTCCGCAGGCTGTGCGTGACAGGGAGGCGACGCACGGTCGTGCAGGTTCCAGCGGCCTTCGGCGGCATACTTGAAGAGGTCAAGGGAATCACGTGGCTGCAGCCACAGTCCCTGGCCAATATGCTGAAAGGCTTCGACACGAAACATGCCTCGATTCAGGAGGCAGATGCGCTTGTGGAGTACCTCCTCTCACCACAAGGAGCTGGACCACTGGCGCTGTTGCATGGACTGAGGCTTTGTCCGCTTCTTTCGGGCCGAAAGGGTACCTTTCTTCACCGTGCGGAGGGGGAGCATTACTATTGGTCAGAAGACCCTGAAATGCAGCAGCTTTTGCCAGGCAAGGACTTCGTCGATCCGGCCTCCCGCACCTTTGCCCTGCTGAAGCCACGTGTGGCCAATTCGCACTTGAATATCTCTCTGCTCAATTGCAAAGCTCTGACGGTTCTGCTGCCATCAATCTTACCACCGTCTTGGAAGAACAAAGGCCAAGTTGTAATCACTAAGGCTGGACAGATTGAAGTTGATGGCAAAAGTCAAGAAGCGGTGTGGCAGGAGTACATCTTGGCACATCAGGCTGCCCGAAAAGCCGCAGCCCAAAAAACCGGCTCATCCAAAAAGCAAGTGTCAAGAACCTTGCCGAAGGGTGCAAATAAAGGGCAGCGTCGTTCCAAAGACCACGCATGGCACGAGGATTATGACGACGAGGACTGGGACGAGGATGAAGGGGAAGAGGAGGACTTTGGAGAGTCTATCGGGCCAGCCATTTCTGAAACAAAGCCATTGACTTGTCCCATTTTGGATGTGGCGGGAGTGGAGGCCGTGGTTCGTCGCTGTCGTTTGATGTGGAAACTGGTGGAAAATAGTCAAGAGAAGGGCAACAGCATGGAAGGCATGCAGCCGTTTCCGTGTGTGCCGGTGGAGGAAGCAGAACCGCACCATGTAGGGTGCAACGGGTGTTTGTGCCTCATTAGCATGTCCTCTGCGGGCAACAAGCAGCTGGCCGCCATCGAGGATTTCTCGGTCGAGGAGGTCGGGGACGGCTTAAAAAACTAGGTTTTCTTTAGGGGCAAAGTTTCCAGCAGGAAAAGTTTCCAAGCAGCCCCAAGGTCAAGCTTCTCAAATCCATGGGTGTGCCGATGCTCAGACCGGGCAAGAAGCTGCGTACCGCCCTTGGCTTAGACCGCACCTCGGTGGTTCGAGCCTTATGCCGTGCCCTTGAGGAGGAGCTCGGCCCGCCCGTTGCCGTAACAGGTGCGAATGCTCGGCTGCATTTGGGGTTGAAGTTGATGAGATTGCCTATTGAGAGGGCCCTTCCGCTACAGCGCCTTGTGTGTTCAGTCCTAAGAAGGGGCAGCGTGAAAGATGCCGAACGTGCCTTGGCTTTGCCTATCTTCCCGACAGTTGGCGGCCGGTTTGCAGTTCCGCTGTTGCCAACGAGTGCCTCCGTGATCAGTCCTGACGAGATTTGGGATGAGCTGCTGAAAACCTACTTTGAGGACTTCCTGGTAAGCTGGGAGGGATCAGCAGGTGATGTGCTACGAGACTTCAAGATACAGCGCCCTTCATTGGCCAACTTCCTTGCCAACTTCTGTGCCCCCCGTGCGGGCATCTTTGATCAGCAGCTGTCTCTTCACTTTCTGGAGTGTGTTGCTGCCGTGGGGGCCGTGTTTTCCCGGTCGGGTGCAAGCCGCGATTGTGAGAAACTGGCCCAAGCCTGCGAGGCTGCACCCATCGTTGTTGAGCCGGACTCCGAAGGCAAGGCGCCCAAGCGATATCGGGCCATGGACCTGGTTGACCCGGACGATGCGGATCTATCCCATCTTCTGGGCACGGCCACCTTTCCCCCAAAAGCCTACTGCACTGCCTTGATTCTGCCGGTTCTCAGGAAAGCGGGTTTGCGCAGCTTTGCTGATGAGGAGCTCTTTCTCCGAGCAGCACAGAGAGCTGAGTCGCAAGTTCTCGAATATGGGGCCGTGCAATCAGCATCGGCGTTGCTGAATCAGCTCAGACGCAGGTTCCACAGCCTCAAATGGTCGTCGAGGCAGGCCGCATCTTGAGGTCTTAATGATGCTTGATTTAACTTTTTGGCTTCACAAACAAACTCTTAACGACATGTGTCCTGGGCCACAGGGTAGGCGGTGCTGTTGGTACTTGTAGCTGGTCAAAGAAAAATCCTCGGTCGGGAAGAGTTGCGACTTTGTGGCCGTTCGGCGAAAACGGTTCTAGATTCTAGCCATGTGGGTGCGTTGTTTCTGGTCAAAAAAACTCACCTGGAAGAGTTGCTTCTTGAGGTCCTGTCGGAGTTAAAGTGTCCTGCGCATGTGTGTCTTTTGGTAGCTGATTAACGAAAACTGTGCTGGAAACGGTGCACTTTGATGTCCGCTCAGACGAAACCGTCCTGGGTATGTGGTGGCCTTGCTCGCTTGTCAAAAACGTCCTCTGGAGAAGTTGTCTGTGTGTTCGATCGGAAAACACTGTCCGGGGTATGTGGTGCGGTGGGTAGCTGGTCAAGGAAAACTCTCCTGGAAGAGCTGCGACTTTGTGGATCTGTGTGGCCGGTCAAAGAAAACGAGTCCTAGGTATGCCCGGTCGGAGTTACAGTGTCCCGGTCTGTGGGTCTTTTGGTAGCTGGTAAAAGACAGCTGTGCTGGAACAGTTGCGTCCTTACGTCCGATGGGAGGAAGCTGTCCTGGGTATGAACTTTCGCTCCGCTCGGACAAAACAGTAGTGGGAGTAGTGGGTATGTGGTAGGGTCGACTGTTACTAGTACTCGCATGTCTTGGTGTTGAAAAGGGTAGCGGTTTGTTCATTGAGACTAGTTCTGCACATGCCTCCTGTCCACAGTTGGCCAACCCGCCTGGAGGACATATGCTTCGTTAAGCCGCTTCCGCATCTTCCCTGCCCTCCCGGCCACTTCACGCCTTGGAGTTCAGCCTCCTGCCGCTCCTGATGCGAGTCGAGATTGTGTGGCGCTGGACACTCCTTGCACGCTCTTTGACCATGCGCCGCTGGCTTGGACACAGCTGGTGGTCTTAGACCCCGAGACCTACCGCGGGTGGCCCAAAGCACTCCTGCAACGCTTCGGGAGCCTTCAGGACCCACCGTCGCTGGCAGTAATAGTGGCCAATCTCGCAGAGATCGCAAGAAGGTGGTCACAAGAGCCTTTGCCGACGGAGACTGAGTCTCGGCGAGAAGTTGTGGAGCAGCGCCAGCAGGTCACCATCCAGCATCTGAAGGCTTTCCAGCCTATGTTCCACAAGCGAAGTCATTCGACCCAGATCATGGTGCAGCATCAGTTGAGTAATGTGAACTTCTTGGTCTTGGACGACGGCGCCTTAGTGAGTCCATGCCAAGTCTTCACAGCACTCCACGAGGGAGCTGATGCATCAGACGAGGAGCCGGAAGGCGCAGGCTATCCGACCCGCAAACGCCGGACGCAGGGCACCTGGAGCCTGCCAGGTTACCTGCGACCTTTCCGCCGGTTGCTGCTAGGCGTGGCAGGACCGGCTGTTCGCCTGAAGCGGCAGCTTCCAACGATCAACGTGCCACCAGCGCCAGCCGCATCGGTGGTGCCTACTTTCATAAAGACTTCCTTGAACAAACCCGAGCTTGCCGATGTGATCTTTGTCCTCCAGGCCGATGATGGCACGAAGGAGATCTACGCGCACCGCTTGGTGTTGGCGGCCGCCTGCGAGCATTTTCGAGTTCTTTTTACTTCCGATTGTGCTGAGGCAAAGGAGCCGCGATGCCGTCTTCATTTGCCAGATTGGGTCTCCTCTCGGGGGCTGTTGTGGCTGCTGGCCTATTTTTACCAGGGCTTTGATGCTTTGCTGGCCCAAGAAGTGGCCTACCAACTCGACCGAGGTCTTGAAGTTTCGGAGGTGGTGGTGCCAGTGAGAGTGACAGGCAGGTCCCAGAAGCCACGGTGCTTGGCTACTTCGGACACCGGCGAAGACCTTTGTTGCCTTCTCCGGCTGTGTGAGTTCTACGACGTGAGCCATTTAAAGAGGTGGACTGAGAACGAGCTGGGCAAACTCCTGACGGGGGAGAACCTTATCGCGCTCTCGACACACGCCTATTTCTGCAACGCCAACCAGCTGCTGAATGTCTGCATCTACCACCTTAGGAGCCAGTACGCGGAACTGGTGGGCTTGCAGGAGTGGGAGTCGCTAGAGCCGGCCATTAGGGAGTTGGTGTTGACGGACGTGAGCGGCGAGGCGGACTGAGATCTGACACATGTGATTGGCCTTCATGGTGCGGTTGCTGTTCATATTCTGATTCTACGGCTCTGCTCAACATCATGACGTGCCTGTGCAAAGGCAGCCCTTCGGAGAGCTCTGAATCCTGTACAGATCAGGCCGCCGACGGGAAACAAGGAGGTTGACATCCCTACGCTTGTATTCGCTCTATTCTGTAGCATTAGGACGAATGATGCCACCAAGGGGAGGGTAAATGCTAGAGCTAGAATCCGCTGGAACACTTATGCCAATGGCAAGACAAGTCGCAACAGTAGCAAGGAGAACTCTGGAATAACCACAGTAGCTGCAGAAGGGGCATGAACTTGTAATCGGCATGCTGGACATCCTCCTAGCACCAAGAGTTATGCAGGCAATGCCAACTAACAGAACAAGAAAGCCGTGACGACTCCTAGGCAGAACAGAAAGCTGGTCTCGCGGAATCCATTTGTTGTGAAACCGCAGTTAGCCAGAAGAGGGCCTGCACGGGTAGAATTTGGGGCCTTGAGGCCGGGTTTCTTCGTGCTGTTGCTATGTGACGTGGATGCGGCTGTTCACCGATGTCGCGGGCTGGTAGTTGGTTGTGTACGGCTGACGAGAGACGCAGCATGGGAGCCTGGAGGGTTCTGCGTGTTCGCTTAGGCCCTGGCACATGCGCAGACCCCAGCCCCTGGCTTCATGGCTTCAGCCGCCGGCTATGCCAAGGCTTCGGGCGTTGTTGTGCTTTAGACTCTAAAGTCTAGTACCAACAGAAAGCGAATCTCGAATATGATGGGTTTAGCAGTCGTAATCACCGTGCTAGCACGATCAACTTCACCCCACGAATCCCTCACCGTTAGCATGTTCGTCGTCGTCGCTGCCGTCTTCGCCATCGTTCTCATTTCTTTTCAAGGGATGAGGATTATTCTTCCTTCATTCCGAACTCCACACAAAAGAAGCCATCATTCACCTTCCGCCCAGTCTACCCAACCCTGAACTCAAAAGAATCTAAACGGCCCGAAAGCTCAAACCTCGTAAACATATCCTTATGTTTTTTCCCTCTGCAAAGGAATGGCTCTTTGCCTGCACTAACCGTATGATCTGATCAAGGGAAAATGGTTTATGGCTTGAGGTTTAGACCTTAGCATGCAGAGCTTGGGGTTCGAGGTTTATGTTTTGGGACTTAGGGTTCAGAATGTGGGAGGCTGGAAGCAGAAAGGGATGTTCAAGGGCTTAAGGCTTGGGGTTTCGGGTTTTCCAAACTACAAGCTGTTACCGCATAGGGTTGAGGGCCTCAGGCTTAGGTTCAGGGGTTCAGGGCGAAGGGTTCACAAGCCCTGATGCACAAAGGGCGAAGGGTTCCTTCTCGTGACAGTGCAAGGTTTCAGGGATGGGGGTTATGCCCTGTTGGTTTGGGATTCCAGACTCGGTTTGTATATCGTTTTCGTCATGATCATGCTCCTGCTTCGTTGTCACGTGTGTTGAGTTGCGAGGGTCAACCTGCAGGCGCGGCAGTCCTCTTTCGGCACCCAGGAGCTGTTTCCTGTCAAGCAAAGGTAAGCGTTTAGGGTTGCCTCATTGTTGATTACCAGCACCCTGCGACTTCCGCATCCTGGCATGGTCCAGCAGTTTAGGTTCGACGCATGTGGTGGCGTGTGGATCTTGAGATTGGCTTACGTAGTGGCTGTTTCGGGTTCAGGGACAACTTCAGACTTTGAACTCAGACCGTGTGGGTAGAGTTCTAAGCGGCAGAATGTGCATAAGCGTTGTGGATGCAGGGCTGGTCATCAACGACACCGGCATGGATACCAGAAGAGGGAACTGTTTGTGGGTCTTGGAGTTGAAGAGCGACACCTAGTTTTCTTTACGAATCCACACCCGCATCCGCTTTCAAAGCTCCAAAACTCTGAGCCCGGAGCCCCGCAAAATCCCAAAGCACACGAGGCTGCGGTTTCTGGGGGCCTTCCGCCGGGCAGGCCGGGCAGCAGACGGAAGTAGACCGAGCCTCCTACACCTAGGTTTGTGGTCATTAGAGTCAAGGAGCCAAGAGACTCTTTTTTGCACAGCCAGCACATCAAAATGAGGGCAATGCTGAGCCCAAAGTTGGATCGACACTCTTTATTCGGCAGGGACAAGTTCTTTGTTCTCTTGCCTGCATGCATTTCAGCAATTCTCGATGACTCAGAAGGGTCTGCATCGCCGCTCAGATGTCAATAGAATCCCAGCAGCAGCATGAGTCCTGAAGCAACCGTCTTGCGGTCAGTATATACAAAGTGAAACAAAGATATATACAGAACGGGCACATATGCCACATAAGATCACAAATTCAAGCCTTCCAACAGTGAACGCTGGGCTTGACACACACCAGCCACAAAGTGCAAGTGGGCTGACAACAGGCCTACACTGT